TTGTAACCCTTGTCATATCTAGTATTGAATCGGTTAGGTGTGTTGGTGTCCTTATCCATATGCTTGGCAGTTTTCCATTTTATGAACATTTCAGTCGCGTGGTGCACTCTATCATCTCCAATATCGTATACATAAGCACCATACACTTCTTTGGGTACAGTTTCTCTCCTCCCAAACTGTTGCAAGACTCAAAAGGATGCATAAGGGAGAATTCCCAAATACCTGGTAGAGGAAGCACAACCTATCTATTGCTCTCCACGGCGGCTTCTTTGGATATTAAATGGTCGAGCATCAATTGGAGATATTTTTCTCTCAATTTGGAGAAAACCTGATCCCATCCCCCTTGTTCTCCGATTGTCCGTATTCGCCCAATACAACATGTCATTCAAATCTGTAAGGGTGTTCTTGTTTTCAAGAATATGCATCTCTGGAGTCCCAGCACCCTTCGCTAAATGGATGAGGATCCACCACTGAAGGAGCAACTCGCATGCTTGGAAGTATCGATGTCCCTCTTTATAGTTTCTCACGGCTCTATACATATCGGACAGGATAACCGGAACCATAGGATAATACTTTGGCTTCCCTTGGTTCTCATACCCTTTTAACAAAGTATGCGCGATTGTTATAACTATGGTATTGATGCTCAGGATTAGACCATGTGGGAATACCATTGTTCCCAATAAAGCTACATCAAATGCTAGAGGATGAATTTCATTTCATTCTCTGTTGGAGATCTTGAACTCTCGATTGTAAGTGACGTAGAAGCTTGCATGTACAAATCGGATGTAAAGATCCCTGAATGTTACATGGGATTCTTGACACCAGTAGGCAAAGTCTTTTCCCAACCTTAACCAGTCCGCAATATTTTCTACCGAAGGCTTATTACGGAAAAAGATGTCTTCTTGTTTTCTCCCTTTTTTTTATCCTAGTGCCTACTATGTCTATATAGTCTCTTATCTCCTTCAAAGTCGGGGTAATTTCAACGGTTCCGAATCGAAACACTATTCTTTGTCTATCCCAATATCCCGTAAGGACCTCAACCAGTTCCGGAAAACCGTTCATGTTGATTAATTCTATCAGAGCACCACATATTTATTAGGGGTTCTTCTAGGATCCATGTCTGATTATTATATCACATCGTGAGTTTAGTTAGAGCTGATATGACCATGTCGAACTTTAGAAAATGGTCTATATCTACAAAGCAGAAGCTAGTTAGTTTTACCCACCCCCAAAATGATTTCCACACATACATCATCCAAATGTCACATAAAATGATATGTCGTGAGGTCGAACACCTTAGACACGATTTTGGGAGTTTTCTACTAAATGGACTGAATACACCTTAGGTATTAAGTTGTTTTATACTAATGCTTAACTTTGGTTTTTGTTTCGCTCTAGTTTAGGCTTACTAGAATAGTTTTCAACTTGATGGTTACTCGAGTAAGACAAACATCGGGGTGAAGCTACCAAACAACGTCGGATGGCTGCATTACAAATATTTATTTGATAATTCCAAATGAACTTTTGTGTATTTCTGAAGAAAGTCATGGAAAACCACATAACTTTCTAATGCATATTACATACCGTTTCGCAGAAATATGCCATGAAAAATTCAACAGTTGTAATAATAAAGTAAAACAAATAAGCAATTATAGACAAATAATGTAAGTCTTAATGTTAGAATCCTCTACATTCCCTAGCAGAGTCGCCATTTCTATCTTATCAAAAATATTGTTTATAAGATTTTCGACCTTTTAGAGAGTCGCCACTTAATTTTTTAAGAAAAATAATGAAAACTACGGTTTTCAAAAGATTTAAATGTGAAAAATCATTTCAAATTTTTTAAAGGGGTTCGAGAATACCTATTAACATCTTAGGAAGGTTTTTAAAAGCACCTAGGATGTTCTGCTAACTTGTGGTTATCCAACAACTAACTATTTGGCTAAGGCTTACAAAAAAATACTCTTTAGAGTTGTTTGAAAAATGAAAGCCTAAAATCATTTAAGATAGTTTTGAAAGTGCAAATTTATTTACCTAAGGGAACTTTAATTTGTAAAATCCTTTTAAGATATTTACTTGATTTGGTCGCGTAGTTAAACACAAAGTGACATTTTGCGGGGTTCGGATTCTTCTAACCTTGATCTAACGACAAAAAAATAGTTAAATATTAAAAAAATAGGTTGGGAGAGAGAGAAAAAGATATTTGGGTCCAAACCCGGGTTCTGTTCGCCTTGATCGGAGTTTTGGACCCACCTGTTTTGGATTTTTTGACCCATTCATCTTTTTGGGTCTTCGACCCATTTTACCTGTTCTAAACTAAGCAAATAATCAATACAAAATAAATACAAAAATTAAAAAAGTCAAGGGCTTGGGCCCGAAATAATGAAATACGGATCCTAAAAAATTCAAATCTTGGACCTTAAAGGTCCCCATTTCTTCAACTTTCCGATCTTGTACGGATTCTTCCAACTTTGAAATCTCTCTGTCTTTTCCGGAACGGCTGACTTGAATAAATAGTTATATTGGGACTTCATGACCCTAATCGAAGAAATGCAAAGAAAGAGTCTCCAAAGACTCCGGAGAAGTCGATTCATGCATAAAAAATAAAAAAAGATACAATTTGAAATGAGACACACCTCAAATCTATAAAATACAACCAAGACGTATAAAATGAATAAATGAAATATGCAAGTTCATGATAAGTTTACTGCCCATATAAATGCGAGATGGCAAGGAAATGCATGTAATATTCAAAGGACTCCCACCTAGAATTAATCTTACCCTCGCGTGACATTGAAAAATATATAATAATGATTATGGATTAGCAATCATACCAACAGTGGCTGAATGGAGAATGAACTAATGCAATTTTATAAAGATAAAATAAATAAATAAAGCAAACCAGTCGGCATCATTGGGTTTTATGCATACAATGCAAAATTAAGTCGAAGCCGCTGCAAATTAATAGAGTGAATTTAAGCATTGTGACACATAAGCAAAGCAGTAAACAAAATACACAACACATGTCACTGTTTTGCAGAAAGATTTAGACATGATGAGGGGGAAGGGTCTTAGTACTTCCACAATTTAAGAAGAGGAAAAGTGGCAGTCACATGCAACAGAACTCACAGATAACTTAAGCCTCATTTTTAACATGAAGAAATATATATTTAAAGTCAGATAAAGGAATTAAAGTAAAAAAAACTACAATTTTTCGAAATAAGATTCTATAGAAGCAAGAAACAACTCATCCTTAATAAGCACATACAAGAACGCGACACCGACCTCACACCATGGAAAGGATTCAGCAAGGATCGTATAAGAAAACCAGTCTAATTGACGTTAGAACCCCCCCTAACAATTTTTTTTAAATAACTCATATTTGACTCGTAACCTTCATACGGATTTATAAGGACCTGGACAACGATAGAGACAAACAAATTGTTTGAACTTGCACTCCTACCCAAAGTCACCCACAGAGTAATGGTCAAGTCACTTGACGGCAAACGACAATTTAATAAAATGAGTGAATCTTATCTTTAATTTAGAAAAAAAAGTACATTGTCTAGGCCTTCGATAGTACCACTCCTTAGATAATCACGCAAATTTTAGCAAAAATAACCTGCTAGGAATGTACCCTAGATAACTCAACTGACATCCAAAACAAGAGTAAATAATAACAGTATGTTCCCTTAACAGAACGCCCAAACTCCTAAGCATTTCAAAAAAAAACATTTTACACAAACAAAACGCGAAAAAGATCATTATGCCATTATAGAAACATTAGATTGTTTAGAACTCCAACAGTTAAGAATCAAAACGTACTAGGCATCAAATTACGCATTGGAAAGCACAATGGAAGACGAAGATTCACATAAATCAACTCAAGAGATTGACACCTATAATCTACCAAAAGAAATCTCATGCAATAGCCATCACAAAATTTAGTCTAAACCAAATGATCAATAATACAAATTCAAAACCAAAGATGACAAAACTAAATGAAGACGAGGCCATGAAAGGCTACATGAGACTAAAATAACCTTAAATCGCTCCTTCCCTATTCCTTGGGAAAGAGTGTACAAACTACGATGGAAGGAACTAATAGGAGTAACTATAATTAATAATAATTATGTGACTCACGTGTAATTACTTATTTATGCTTCCTCTATATATACTGGATGTACATCACTTTATTAACAAGACTCATTATTCTATCATGGTATCAGAGCAAGGGTTATACTCTTCCGAAACCTAAAAAACCTGAAACCTAAAACTCTTCTTCTTCTTGTCGATCAAAAAAATCAAATAAAAAATTTCAACTTATTCTTCCTTTTCTCTTAAACATGGCAGTCGATCCCCTTGCAACTCTTCCCTCCGACGTGAAATTGATTCTTCACAATCTTCACAATCTCATCCCAGAAAAATTAACTGATTATAATTATTTGGATTTGTCGAATTGCGTTAAGACAGAGCTTTCCGCCAATCTTCTTCATAGTTGGGTCGACGGTACCAGAACAGTGCCGCCCATCAATGTCACCGTAACGGACAAAGATGGTACGACCTCGACGGAACCAAATCCCGCCCATAGTTCGTGGCCTCTAGTTGATGCTCAAGTTCATGCCTGCCTTCTCGCTTTGATTAGCCCGCAAATTCAGAAGTATGCTCGTGCTTTTACTACATCTGGGGATCATTGGATTGCTCTTGCTACACGCTTCAACTCCTTATCAACAGCCCATGTTTTTCAGTTGCGTGACCGTCTTCACACCGTCCGGAAGGGCACTCACACCATAGTCCAATATCTTGACAAAGCAACCTCTATTATTTCTGATCTTGATGCCATCAATGAACTTGTTCCCGAATGAGATTTCATCAATGCTGTTGTTTGGGGCTTGCCTGCCAAATTTTCCTCTTTAAAATAGCACATCCCCTATCACGATGGCCCACTCACACTCAATCAAATATCGTGTTGGTTGAATGCAGAAGAATTAAATCTTGCCATGGAATCCAAATTGGCCCTCGCTGACTCGACAACTCAGACAACCTACACTGCACTTTACGCGGCTGGGCAGGGTGGTGGCGGACGTCCAGGAAGACGGTGCACACCGCGGCGGAGGTAGAGGATGACATCAGTCACTAGGACAAAACAGCACTTTTAGCCGCAGCAGACCTGACCAGGATAGCAGACGCGGAGGCGGCAGTTTTTCGTCAAGTCGTTACATGCCTGTGTGTCAAATCTGTGACAAGCGCAGACACGCGGCTCGTGTGTGTTGGTATCACTAGGACGAGCAGTCCGTTTCTGCCCCTACCGGTGTAACTTGTGCGATGCATGCATCTACAAGAAACTCTTCTAGTGATTTGTATTTGGATAATGGTGCAAATTCTCACGTGACGCGTGATTACTATCAACTCCATAATCCGACTTCCTATTCTGGCGCCGACACAATCACTGTAGTTAACAGCCAATCTTTACCCATCTCCAATATAGGTTCTGGCTATGTTTACACCCCCACATGTACTTTCTCATTGTCCACGTTACATCACGTCCATCCCTAACATCCAACCTTCTGTCTGACTATCTGTTCACCAAAGAAAATAACTGCACTCTTCTTTTTAATGCCCATAATTTTCAGATAGTGGACAATTAAACCAAACAGATCCGGTACAAGGGCCGTTGTGAGCAAGGTCTATACATTCTTCCTTCCAAGCTATCTGCGTCAATATCATCTTCTTCAGTTGCTCATCAAGCCATTCATTCCTCTACCTGGCACCGTAGACTTGGTCGTCCATGTGCCGAATTTACTAAGTCCATTATGTTTGTCTTAGGTTTTCCGTTTTCTACTAAGGATCATTGTGAGTCGTGCTATGCATCCAAATTGAGTCGTTTACTATTTATTTTATCTGATACTAAGGCCACAACGCCATTTGAATTAATACATTCTGATGTTCGAGGTCCAACCTCCATCTCCTCCTTTAATGGTTTTCGTTACTATATTTGTTTTGTTGATGATTATAGTAAATTTACATGACTTTATTCCTTAAAATGCAAATCTGAAGCATATTCGGTTATTGTAAATTTTGAATGCATGGTCAAAACACAATTCAATTCCAACATCAAAATATTTCTTAGTGACAATGGCAGAGAATTTTTAAACAATGCCTTTGGTTTTTTCCTCCAATCTCTTGGTATTATTCATCACACATCTTGCCCCAATACTCCTGAAGAAAATTGTATTGCCGAACGCAAACACTGTCACCTCATTAAGACTGTCATCACTCTCCTTCATGAGTCTCATCTACATGCATCCTTCTGGGTCGAGGCGTTGGCCACTGCCAACTATCTCATCAACCGCATGCCTACACCCTCCCTCTCTAACACATATTCTTACGAATATCTCTACAAACACCGTCCGGATTACACTCACCTTCGACCTTTTCGTTGTCTTGCCTACCCTTGGCTACGACCTCACACTCAACATAAACTACAACCCCGGTCTACACCATGCGTCTTTCTAGGCTACCACCCCACCATAAAAGGATACAAATGATTTTATCCTGCCTCTCAAAAAGACATATTTCTCTCGTCATGTTCGTTTTATCGATGATGAATTTCCCCAGTTGAGTTCTGTCACTGCCACGTCCAACCCACTTGGTATTATTCCAATCTTTCCACCGAGCTCACATGGCCTTGTACTTGCACCCGTTAACCCATCCATTCTGCAATAAACAACTAACCCCGACTCTCCTGTCCAAAATGGACCACCCAGCCCCCACAATCCACCTATCCCACCAAGCTTCAACCCACCTCACCAACAAATTCCACCAGTCGAACCAGCACCCCCTCAACCCCCACCCCCACCACCATTACATCCCATGCAAACTCTTTCCAAATCTGGCATTTTCAAGCCCAATGCCCACACCACTACTTTACCTGCTATCTCTCCATCTGAACCTATTACCTAAAAAAAAGCCTCTAGCAATCCCCTTTGGTGTCAGGCTATGGATGATGAATACAGGTCTCTTATTAATTAGCATACTTGGGAATTGGTGCCAGCACCCCGACATCGAAAACCAATTGGTTTCAAGTGGGTGTACCACATCAAACGTAATGCAGATGGATCCATATCTCGTTACAAATCTCGCCTAGTTGCGAAGGTTTATCATCAAGAGTATGGCATTGACTATAAGGAGACTTTCAGCCCAATCGTCAAGCAGCAGACTATCTGTCTAGTCTTGTCTCTAGCTCTTCATAATGACGGGCCCCCACACCAGCTAGATGTTAGCAATGCCATTTTACATGGCACTCTGGAAGAGTACATTTATATGGATAAACCACCCGGCTACATTGATTCCCGCCATCCACACCTTGTCTGCAAGCTCAAAAAGTCCCTCTATAGTCTTAAATAGGCACCCCTTGCTTGGTATGGTTGTTTCTCGTCTTTTTTGCAGGATATGGGCTTCCACACATGCACTCATGACACGAGTCTATTCACTCTACAACACACTTGTGGCCTGTATATAATCCTTCTCTTATTTGATGATATTGTGATTACCGGTAGTTCATCTGATCTTATCTCCATTATCACGAAGGCCATGCATCAACATTTCAGCTGAAAGATCTTGGACCTTTACATTACTTCCTTAGCATTGAAGTACTCCATACCTCCTCTAGTCTCCTACTTCATCAGTCAAAATACACTGAGGAGCTTCTCACTCGGGGAGGGATGGCTGAAACCAAAACTGCACCTACTCCCATGGCTGTCCGTCCGCCGTCCAACTTAAACAACCGTCTCTTTGACAATTCGACCCTATATCAAAGCATCGTGGGTGGACTTCATTATTTGGTTGTTACTCATCAAGAAATTCAATATGATGTAATCGTGTCTCTCAGTCCATGCATGCTCCAACTGAACAAAACTTCCAGGCATTAAAACGGATTCTTCATTATCTAAAGGGTAGCTCACGTCGTGGACTTCTTTTCCAAAAAGGAAATCAGAAGCTCTCCATCTACTCCGACTCAGACTGGGCTAACGGCAAGGATGATCGTCGCTCCACTACCAGGTATCTGCTGTTTCTTGGACCAAATTTAATCTCTTGGTGCACCAAAAAGCAGACGCGGGACATTTTCGATGAGTTGTGACTTTCCTTAAGGGTTGTGATTTTTTCAAAGGGTTTAAACTTTTGAAAGGGTTGTGTATTGTGATATTTTCAAAGGATTTGAACTTTCGAGAGGGTTGTGACTTTTTTGAGAGGTTGTGACTTTTCCGACGAGCAATGAATTTTTTGAAAGGTTGTAACTTTTTTTATAAGGCACAATTGACACCTATTCATATTACTATTTGTTAGCTATAAATAGAGAGGCTTCCTATCACTTCTAAACTACGATTTTATAAAAGTATTCTGCTCTTCTTCTTCTTAAAAGTTTCATGGTTATTTGCAATAGTTGATTAAGTTCAAAGTTCAACGATATTCGAGAAACCACATAAAAGTGTTGGTGAACAAATTGTAGCAAATCATTTATACATTCACACTCATATTTTTTCTAATAATATCCATGAGTTAACATTGAGGAAGATTTGTGGGAAAGACAATAATAATAAACAAATATGAAAAAAGTCACATGATTTGGGTAAGATACTTTTTTATTTTTTTTTACCATCAAGTGAATGAGTTTCTTTCTAATTTTGCTAAAACAACGTCAATGTAATCTACTGAATCATTATCTTTTATGTTAATTCAACTGTTTCAAAAATATATTTTCACTTTACTTATAATATTATAATAATTTTTTAATAGATATGTAAGTAAAAATGAATGTAGAAACCAAAGTGTTGGTGCCAAAAGTTGTTACTCAAATGGAACACCATAGTGAATATAACATGAACATATATTTTCGTCTTCCCTATTTAATATCTATGTATCGTTCCATATACTTTTTTCTTTTTAAAATTTATATGGAGTATGAAATTTTTTATGTATGAATTTCTTGTTATTTTGTGTTCATTTTAATTTGTGAAAATGTTATGTTACAAGATACACTCCTTGCTAACTATATAAAAATAGATAAGAAAATAGTTATTGATCATAAGATAATCTTAAATTAAATTAAAAATTGTATAAACAATACTTTCAATTTTATTCATGTATTAATTTTTATTATTTAAAAGTTTAATATTTTATATCACAATACACCTTGTATAACATAATAGTTATTTCTGTTTGACAACAAACGTACGATATGTATGAGGCAGGAAGAGAGGAAGACCGGAGTTCTACAAAGATAAGCTAGAAACGTAAAGAAATGAAATAGTTTCTACCAAAGGTGATGACGTTCATATATTAAAATTATATAATGCTACTGAAATATTATATGTATATCTAAAACAAAGAATTTGGTTAGATATAACAATAAAGTAACTTTAATTTAACCATCATTCGTTATAATAAGGGCTAATCCATCGGTGGCCCCATAAAATTGGCATCAACTTTCTCTTACAAGCCTGAACTAACCTTTTTTCATTTTAGACACCTCATTTGAGGTCGTAATGTGTCATTTTAATATTAGTTTGCTGATATAGCATATTGAGTGTGACCCATTCATTAACCGCATGTCAAGCTCCTTTTTAGCCAATTTTTATTTTATATTTCGTTCTTCGTCCACATTTTTTCAACCACCATTTTCTCAAGCTTGAACTTCTTCTATGGTAAAATATATTCGATGATGCCATAGTGGAGGGATCTAATTTCAAATGTCAATGCTTTCCCTAAGATTTCCCAAGGATAATGCCCTTCTTCTTCAATTTAATTTGACGACTCAAATTTGAAGGGAAAAAAGAAAATACCGGGACGAATAAAAAGTCACTAAAAAATGAGATAATCTCATTAAGAGAAACTTAACACTGTCATATGAACACGTCTACATTTTTATTTTTAGAAGTTCATTGGATCTAAAAAAAGTTTTAACTAATAAAATCCATAGAATTTCTTTCAGCAATAAAATTTGTGCAGCTGTATTTATTTGAAAAAAAATTGAGTTATTAAAGTTCACTAAAGTTATATCATAGAAGTATTGAACAATATTTAAGTAAAAGAGATGGAAGAATTTTCTGGTATGTGCTAGAATATTAAGGGGTATGTGCTGTGAGAAGACCATGTGTGGGGGTGAGGGTGGGGTGGGAGATGCTTCTCCTAGAAATATTAAGGTGATTTAATCTGTTTTTGTTATTATTTGGGGAAAACATCACGTATCATCGATCCATTCGCCATATTTTTTTAAAAATAATTGATAGTTTAATATTTAAGAATTAATTTGAACAAAATGACAAGTGTCCTCATTTAATTTGACACTTTACACATCATCCGATAGTGGAAGACACTCACCATCATAGTTTTGTTTAATGTAAAGGAAGTGTCAAAATGACATATAAGGGTCTTAAATGAGGTGTCTAAAATGAACAAAGCTTAGTTGAGGTGTCTAAGTTAAAGTTAATTCCAACTTTAGGGGCCACTGATGAGTTAGACCTTATAACAATAAAGTACCTTTTCTTTTTTAGAATTACCTCTATGTGATAGTCTTACTCAAATATTAATTCATAAATATAGATTGCGTATAACGATAAAATATTGAAATAATTATGGTAATTCTTATAAGTATCATGGACATACTAAATTTCGAGTATGAATATTTAAGAGAAAAAATATACTTAAATGGTGTGCATTATTTATGTTCATAACCTCAAGAGCTAAGAATATTGGTGACATTTTTTGAGTTAATACTTTTAAAAAAAATTTATTGGTCAGATTTGTTTATAAAATTGAGTGATGTAAAAATAACACTACTAAAGGAATGTCATTTTATCCCATATTCAAACTATGAATGAATTTTGAAATGAATCAATGATATCTGGTCATTTTGATCTCATGACAATTTAGTAATCATTTAAAAAAGCACTTGTTCTATGTTCGTTAAAGTATAATGATTTACTTAAAACATTAATTTAGTGATATTAATTCTATTTTACAATATCGTATACTATGTACACGATACAAACGTGCAATGCACATGCCATAAAACTAGTTACAATACAAATACATGGACTATTTCTCCTAATATTCTACCAAGTACTCAATGTTATTTTTCAGTATTTTATATTTCTACAACTTAGTACATGAATTTTGTCTTAATTCTGCTTTCTTCTGCTCGTCTCACCCCAACCTACGTGTTACCATAAAATTGTATACCTTAAGTGATGAGCTACTACAAAAAATTGTATTAATCCCTAAATAGTCATAAGATAAACTTCGCCGGTAGACGTCATGGCCTATGCCAGCGATTCTTGGCCTACAGTCCATGTTGATGAACAGCCACCAAAATCATCATTGAACTATGCAATGACTTCTAATGAAATAGAAGACAAAATCACAACTTCTATCCTTATCAATGATATTACTAACATCCATGGAGAGCCAACTGCATTATGGGAGGAAGAAGAGAATGATTTAAGAAGATTTATTGTTTGCCATAATTGGAAAAAATTTCTTGTGGCTGGTCAACACTAGAATAAATTTGAAAGTTTGGTCTTTTAAGGCGTGAGATTCAAGGCGGACTGTAAGGAATGATTCCTGAATGATAGAAACATCCCAATTCGCGTTACTACTATGGAATATTAGGTGCATGTCATGTAGAAAATCGATATATATTTTTAAGGCTAAAGAAGGGTATACTATCAGATTCGACCTCCAAAGTGGGAACCCTAGTTTAACCAAGAGGGGTAAACTACTACTGCATTAGTATGTACCTCTTTTCCATCCATATCACCTAATTCTTTCGTTAAACAATCATTGTTTATGATGTCCAAAGAAGTGGGAAAACTGTTAATGGTTGACATGGCTACAATAAGCAAATCTAGACCTAGGTGTGTCAGATAAAGGTTGAAGTCAACGTATTAAATGAATTTCCCTAACGGATTAATGTTGAGTTAAGAAGATATATTATGGGTAAATCATCTCAACATGAATAAAAATGTTATAGGATTACACGCCAAAGTATTGCAAATATTGCAAACTTTAAGACAGGGGCATGATTTCATCGAGGGGGTTTAAAAAGATAAGTAAGCAAGTTGGTCAGAGCGAGTCAAATATAAACGGGTCAGCTTCAATATAAACAACTAAATAAAACTCAAATCTACCTCAACACAAACAGTGAAATCGAGGAAGTATGTGTTTGACATAATGTTAAAATGATTATGAGTGAAGGCATTTTGAAAAATTTTAATTGTTGTCTTATCTCCATAATTGTGTATATATATGTTTTAGTACGATGAGTATATAATATTAATATAGAATTTTTATTTTTGTAATGTGATATCTTGTTTGAGTATACTAAATCATATTACCTTACAAAAGTCCAACTATTATATTGTTCCTCATTAATGAAATGTAATCCCTCCCCCTATGTCACACCTTGAGCCTACATTGTGGACGTGGTCGAAACTCTAGAACCATCCTTAATCCCAAGAGAATCCTTGGCCTTGCTTACTAGTCCGGGGAAGACATTACTCAACAAGAAGAACTTTAAATGCAAAGATCAACTCAATGGTCTCAACTATTGATAAACTCAGAAATGTCATGAAATATTTAAATAGCCATAAGAAGGCAACTCAAGTCTAAAAAAAACAAGGGAAGGTGAAATAGATTCCTCAACTACTATTGTCTATGAAAGCTTCAAATACTACTATATAGGTCGGGACAAGACCCCTAATATCATAATAAATCAAAAGAATATAAACAATGAATCCTTCAAAAAGTAGAGAGGCTTACCAAGATAGCTAGAACGAAATGGGATCAACGAAATGCTTGTTCAAGACCCTTAACACCTATATTTGTATCATAAATAAGATGTAGATGGATGATGTTAATACATTGAATGTACGAGCATGTAAAGGGAAAGATGAATCATAAGCAAATGAACAAATTCTCTAGGAAGATAAAGTAATTACAAAATCTGTCCCGACCAAATATTCCAATCAAAATGAGAAGAAAAATGCAATAATACGAAAAAATCTAATATCGGAGCGAGAGTATGGGAGTTGAACATATGACATAGTGAAGTGTTTTTTAATTTAAAACAGTTTGACACTT